GTAAATACAACATGTATTCATTGGTATGCCTAAATGCACGTACGAATATAACAAATACATTGACTTGACGCCTCAAAAAAATATTTTATTTATTTATTTGTGGCTAACATCTCACATTATTGCTATGAATAATAAAGATTTAAACTATAACTATACCTATAACTTGCTAATAAATCCAAGTTATGATGTGATTATGGAGCTTAATTACTCCTTCCACATAATTACCTAACATAATAAAATTTTCAAAACATGGGAACTTTAAGGGATTAGGGGCTCAATTTTTAACATTCCCCTATTTATAAAATTATGCTTTTTTTTTAATGATGTGTATGGCGGTTTTTTTTGTGGTGGAAGGATAATATCAATCGTATGTTATTTGTATGTTTAATGTAATAATGAATATACAATGATATACGGCATATAAAATACCTATAACATAGTTATATATTTTGAGTTTGTCATGGGTATATATAAAGTAAAAATTACACAAATCTCATAGTAAATATTTTTTTCCAAATTATAAAAATCTCTTAAAATTTAAGGATTTCGGATACATCACTCAACGTCCCGATATATTACCTTTGTTGATACAAGACACACATGTCCCGATATATCGCTCAACATCCCGATACATTACCTTTGTTGATACAAGACACACCTGTCCCTATACATCGTAAGAGTACATGTATCCAAGAATAGGAGAGAGAGTGAGGAAAATATGAATTTTTGTAAATTTTTCAAATGGTAGGTAATTTTAGAGAATATGGTAAAATAAGTTGTGTATTTTGATAATTTTTTCTATAATTAATTTTAGTATTTTACTATGATATATATACAACAACATAAATGTGTAATTTATGTATACCATGGGTATATTTTATTGTAATTGTATATAGTTTGTTAGAAAGTTGTTGCTATTTTCCGAAAACTGGTTCTTCCATAGTTCCATTAATACAAATGGATAATTATAGAACTAATTAGAAGCCTAATTTTGTAATATATTGGAAAAAATCCTTTTATGTTAGTTATTTCTTTTTCATTTTTCTGTAATATTTTAATACTTGATACCAATTATTGATAAAATTTAACTTAATTTGAAAATCCCCTTTTATGCCAAACATTGGTGTAATTTTTGCCACTGAAAAAGGAAAATGTTAGTAAAATTAGAAATTGATTGCACAATAATTTCTAAAAATCTCCATGTGTTAACTAATAATTACAATTAAAACGAGATAAGATGACAACATTAATAATTTCACCACAAAAGTGGAAAAGATACTTTTAAGATTTGAAAAAAGTATTTTTGCTCAAATTAAGGCAAAAAAGTCATTAACAATAATAGAAAATTCCATTAAAAATAATTTAAAATTCCAAATTAAACCTCAATGATATATATTAGAATTTTTATTATTAATAATAAAATGGATTTCTTATATTTAGTTAGTTTCTTATAGAACACTATTAGCTCATGTACTCGATCAATAATTCTCTTCTTCTTTTTTTCGTCTCAAAATACTTTCTTTCTATAGGAAATTTGTTATATAGATTTTCTAAAAAAGGAAAAATATCTTTATTTTTTAAAGAATAAAAAACAAAGGTAGATATATAGGGGTACAATAAGCAATTGAGGAGAAAGATTACTTTTTAAAGCAAAGTTAATAGTGCAAGTGATTTTCACTTTTAATAATTTCACCATAAAAGTGGAAAAGATCCCTTTAAAGATTTGCAAAAAGTTCTTTTGTGCAAATTAAGGTAAAAACATCATTAGCAATACTAGAAAATGTTAAAGTGTGACAATCTCATCTAAAAATTTATGTGATTAGAGAGAATACAATTTTATTTGTTAATTATATTCTCAATACGTCCCTCACTTGCACACCTGATTTCTTTTCACGAACCAAACACATGGAAATTCTTTTTGATTTGCGTGACGGTGAAATTCAATCAGAAGACATTTGTCTGCTCTGATACCATGTTGAGTGAGTGTCCATCTCATCTAAATATGAAAGCTAGTAGAGAGAGCACACTTTTATTAGTTAATTATACTCTGAACAGAAAACTTTCCAAAATAAACCACAATAATGATCAATTATATCAATGATAACTTCATGTATTTTCTTGAAGAAACATTCAAAAAGTGACTCAAGAAAGTTGGACAGCAGATTGACCCAATACAGAAGGATGTCATTGTCAAATGAAACTAACATTGCTTTGAGCATTTTTGTTTGGACTCTATGAGTTTAGAAAGTAATTTGGTTGTGTTTTTATTTTTACTATTATCTAAACCAAAATAAAAGTGTTGACAACTAGATAGGAAAAAATGGTTATTAATAGTTTGGTAACTTACTTTTTTTTTTCTTTCATAGAAATGGTCCATCACATAGTTTGTACATTTTACATAAAGACATGACATTTTTTGTGAAAGGGGTATCATCATGATGTAATACTTTAGAAGGACTAAAGATTCGAATAGTGGATTGATATAATCAACGGTGAGAAAAATTACATACAAAGTAACAAATTTAAGGTCATGTTTGCTCCCGTACTATCTAAAATTGAACAACTTTGCCTTTTTAAAACTTGTGATCGAATTTTAGTGTTTTAGGAAAAATACATTTGCTTCCAAGTAAAGTTCTAACTTGGACATTTTTTTCCTCAAAGATTTTGGACACATGAAATTCGGAGTCCACATATTTCGGTTGGAGCTCCAATAATGACAAGAATAAATGTTAGTAGATGATTTGCTAACAACAAGAGTATATAGATGGCACCTAATTCCACTAAGTAGGCGTTTGGCCATGCGATATCATATCACGATATGGTATCGTGAGATGAAATCAGCGTTTGGACATGCGATTTTACGCTGATTTCATCTCATGATTCCATATCATGAGAGGTGATATCATATTCTCCAAAAACCATGATATGAAATCACATGGTGATTTCATATCATGATTTGAGATATTTTAATACAACAATTGATCCATGAGTTTATATTTTGTTAAAACAACCCCACATTTATATCTACTAACCATTTGTTTCATATGTAAATAAAATTTATAATCACATCATTACTTTTTAAAATTTATTATTCTCACC